TATATATATATATATATATATATACACACATATTATTCATACCTTCTGTGTATAGGACGCAAGCAGATTTTCACATCAAATTTTGGGGTAAAAAAAGTGTCTTATACACTGAAAAATACGGTATGTATGGTATAATTTGAAAGTTCTTTGAATGAAGTTTTAAAATTGAAGAGTTTTAATTTTTTGATTTATAACATTATGTATATAATAGCATCAACAACCAACTTCTTTTTTGATAGGCATGTGAGTGATATATGCATATCAAATTTAGAATCTTCCATTTTTTTTTGGTAATACTAAGCTGTTATGATAATATATGTTGATACATAATTGTAGTTTTCACATTCACAGCGTTTAGAGTATGTTGAACAAGAAAACTAGATCTGAATTGTCCTTTACATTTATAATTATTATCCAATTATAAATAACTACTATCCTTGAGGTGTACACCAAAACCTACATATACTTCACACTTTAAGGATACAAACCAATATATTAGACAAAAAAAATCAGTATAGTTATTGATTAAGTTTGTAAGTATTTATATTATTTTATGCAAAATACCATTTACTTAAGATGGGTGTAAATTTTTAGGATTTAAATAATGTATTTTGATTATTTTCCTAAATAGCCATTGTTAAGAAATGCACTTGAATACACAGTGATATTTAAATGAAAAATATTTCTATTACTTATCCATTAGGTTTAATTTTTTTTATTCCAGGAGTGCTCTGACAGAGATAAGTGTTCTTGTAGATGTACTGAATATTGCAAAAGAGAAAAGATACATGGTTTTAGATCCGGTTTCCCAGGACCCCCCTGAAGTAAAAAATGTAGCAATATTAGTTGCTAAAAAGAAGGTAAGCTTACTAAAAACAATTCAGTGGTAATTTCAATGATTTCTTATATTTAAATAATAGTTTCAAAAAAAATTTAGTTCTGTAGTCAGTGTATGAAATAAGTACTGAACAAAAGTAAGTGAAAAATTTGAAATGACATCTAACCAACTATGGTAAACTTACTTAGTCAACGTTAACTCTTTCCATACTTTTTTTACTGAGTTGCTTTCAAAATTTAATTAAACTACTTTATTATTGTGGTTTATAAATAAACTTGGCATCAAAATGTAACTAATAAGTCATATTTTAATATTATACAAGTTTTAAGTTCTTACTTTTATAAGGAAACATATAAAAAATTTTCAAGCTTCCCTAGTATGAGAATTGTGACATTTGCTCTCTAGGTCTTTCCTCTTCTCTAATTTTTACGACACCCATCTGAGAAAAATGAAATCTAATGTAAATTACTTATAATAATATAGTTATTACTCACGCAAAACATAATATTTATAAAACAAATTTACGAATGTAATAACAGGAAGCATTTATTAGAAGTTTGATACTGAACTTATAAAAGAAACATTATACATAAAAACTCTTCCCTGTCCCTAAATCAGTCTTCACTGGATTTAAACATAGTTTAACTACTTCACTTGTGCCTCAGTTTTAATTTTCTCATGTTATATTTGTATATATCGATTTGTTTATTTCTTATGTAAATATGTCTGTTGTAATTACAAATATTGTTTGTTTGTTTTGTAACCCTAGTTACTGATGATTCCGAAACGTCTGATAAAACGTTTTCTAAAAAATGAGTTTATTACTAGTATAATTTTTATAGCTTTCACTCTTATTTAGTTAGAGGCATAAACTAGAAAATCTTGCCACATCCACCTGTCACAACCTCTCTTTCACAAATTGCCAGTAGTTCTCTCTGATGTTTAATACTATGTTACTTATAACCAATAGAAAGCCAAAGTGTTAATATATTAAATGATGTATTATATTATGTTGTTTTCTGTATAGAGAACTGTCTGTTTCACTTCCAATTTGAAATTTTCATTCACAATGCTCAGATCAAGAAGTTTTGGGACTTATTTTAAGGCTCTTATGCTATAGTTAGACAGCCAGTTAAATTATGATAATTATAGGACCATCAATGTCTATTTATTCCAGCATTTTTATTAACTCCACATGCTTGACTCTATCAAAAGCTTTGGTATAATCAATAAGATATATGAAAAGGTCCTTCTTCATTTCTGTTGCCCTTTCTGAAAGCAATTGTACCATGAAGATAGCATTTCTTGTACCATGATCTTCAGTAAAATGTCACTGAACTTTTGAAACCTTCATTTTTATTATACTTCTAGCTCTCATTTTATTGATGTCAATCAATAAAAATAGACTGGTATAATTTTCATTACAACAGTATTAAACCTGAACTACTGGTAATTGCCAGCTGGTAATCATTGTATACCTTGTTAGTCAAGTTTACATGATCTTCCTTATTTTGTGTTTGTTTATGGTCAGTACAGTTTTTTTTTTTTATCTTGAACTGGTGAATAATATACACACCAGCAAATACTATGCATATTTGGTACACACAATTTGTGTTTATAATGCATTTTTATGTTTAGAAATGTATATTTATGTGGATACACATCTCATTTGGATCACTGTATAACATTGTAAATATGTAAGTATTTAAGTTGATATGAATCACACACAGTATAGCAATGGAAAATAAAAAGTAGAAATTATATGTTTACAGTTTTAAGAAATCATATAGATATTTAGTGTTTCATAACTCTGATTGTTTCTCACACAAATATTAATTAATTGCACCACAACATGTACTTTGTGTAGCAGAGAAGTTGTACGTTAAACTATTTGCAAAAGTGTATTTCATCACTTCACAAAGGAGTTAATATTTAGATGAAACTAAACCTAAAATCAACAAGTAATTTGTTATTAATCATTAAACTGTTCAGTACTAGTGAAAGTACCTGGCTTCATTTGGGTTATTAAGTTGATATATTCCAGATGACTGTGTTATAGATAATTCCAAAACATACTTACCTCTGCTGACACTATAGCTATTTCTCAATCTCCAGGGTTTCCATTCTTTGCCCATCTAAGCATGGAAAATGTTTGCTCCAGTCTTTTATACCATACTTGAATGCCCTTGGCAAATTCTGATTTGCAAAATTCTCCACCAACTTCAATGCACTCTCTATCTAGGTACTGTATATAAGCATCTCATTCAGATAATATAATAACTTTTTCTCAACAAAGCATTCTGCACGGGTTTCTATAAACAGGAGTGTTGTGTTTATCACAATTTACATTGCGACTTTGAACACAGTTTGTGTTACTACTTTTATATCTTTGTACATTTATAAATTACTTTAATAATAATAATAATAATAATATGAAAAAAAAAAATACCGACAGGTATGGATTCTCGAGTTAATGTTTCTATTATGGAGGCTGTTCAGACCTCTCCTCTTCCACCTCTGTTATCTGGTATTTGTCGGTGACCAGGGGAGGGATCACTCTCAGTGGAGGCTGCCTGTGATATGATTCTTTGCGAGATGGACACATGTATGAGGACCAGGAGTGTCTCTTAGGGGAGTTTTGAGGTGGATTTTACACATGATTCTGACCAGCTGGGGAGAATTTAGACTCAATTTTTTTCCAGCTCCTCCTTTTACTAGGTCAGTCTCAATAGAGGATCACTTTGATCAGCCACATCCAGCCCCTTTTCTCCAGTTGGTTACTTGGGTTTGTGAGTTTTTAGGGGTCTTTCCTATTGTATTGGACTCTATCCCTTCCTTGTTTACAGCAAGGATGGCAAGTGACTACTTGATTTTTCCTCCTCCTCCTGATATTGTTATTCATGCTGGGAGATTTGCTGCTCAGTTACGCGATGGGATATCTGTCTTGTCCCCCACATTTATCAGAACAGCATGCTTTGGCTTATCACCACTAGGAGGAGGTATATTTTGATTCTCAATGAATGGACCCTCCATTTTGGACCTGTGGGCAGATCGTTTGGAACCTGTGATAACTTTAAACAGATCAGTTTTCTCTGCATTTATCTTTGATCCAACTTTTGTTGGAAACCTATAAATATTACCTTTGGCAATTTGAGGTCATGTTGGGGATTTTTGCTGATGTATACCTCAGTCAGATTGTCTTCTTCAGTTCTTTCTCTGGTTTTCTGGATGGTTTGTTGTTGGGGTTTATTGGGTAGAGATTCTTTGTTAAAAAGTATTTTACTGTCTTCTGCCCTTGGGGAGTTACGGGAAGCTCCTTTTTCTCCGTCCCATGTTGTTTGTGAGATGCTAGAATGAAGATTTGATTCAGTTTTTTTATTATTGTTGACTTTCTGCCTTTCTGGCGCTAATTCTGGAATGTCGGCTGCTAGTTTTTCCCGACCCTTCCTTTGGTTTCCATACTAGAGTCTGTCTGTGTTCTCGAGGATTTTAGCTCAGGTGGACCGTCGACAACAGTCAGTATCTATCCCATGGGCAGGGGAGCAGTGGGACCATGTTTACATCATTTTCTGAACATATGGAGTTCTTTCATCAGAGATCCATGGGTATTCCATGCTCAGATTGAGGGTGGGTCACTCAATTTACATCACCTCCACCTTTATCTGCACAACCTGTTGCCTTGTCACCTCAAACATATTCATAACGAGTGGAGCTTTGTTCCTAGGTGATAAGAGAGTTGTTAGTCAAAAAGGCAATAGTAGAGGGTTGATCCAATTCTTCTGGAATTTTATTCCCATTTAATTGTGGTACTCAAGAAGACAGGAGATTGGTGTCAAATCCTCGATCTGACTCGACTCGACTAATTTTAGATCCTTCTCGATTTACTATGGAATTCTTTCTCAACCTATGATGGCACTTTCCTCCAGAGCTATGGATGACCAAGTTTGATGTTACCGACACTTATCTCCATATTCCCATAGTGGAATCTTCCTGGAGGTTATGCATAAGGGTCAGGTTTTTGAGTTTAGGGCTCTACCTTTTGGTTTTGCATCAGCACCTTGTGTCTTCTGCAGAGTTTTTTACCATTTTCTCATCATCTACATTCCTTGGACCTGTACACACATCATTATATGGACGACTGGATTCTTCTGGCACCATCTTGTCAAATAGCAGAACAACACTTTCAGATTCTCCTTTCAGAAACCACAAAAGCAGGATTCCTTATTAAATTGAAGAAATCCATTCTGTCACCAATGCAATATCTCATCAATCTGTGTGTGTTTTTCAATACTCTTAAGTCGTGTTCAACCAACCACTATTAGGCTTCAAACCATAGAGCGAGAGCCATCAGACTTTTACTTATATTTCCATCTCCTACTACACGGATGGTTCTCTCTCTATTGGGTATGTGGGCATCCCTCAAGCCTCTCACTCCTTTAGGAGGAGCTCATATGAGGTCCTTTCAGTGATCACTGCACAATCAATGAATCATGCTTTTTGATACTTTGGATCATCCTGTCTCATTACTCAAGAGCAACATTGTCGCTTGCGATTGGTGGTTGGATTGGAACAATGCTACTATTGGGGTACCCATTCCACCACCTCGTCCAGAGATCCATCTGTTCCCAGATGCATTTCTTCAGGGATGAGAAACTTATCTTCAAGGTCAGGAGTTCCAGGGTATTTGGAACTGAAGTCGAGTCTACCCTCCATATCAATGTTCTAGAACTAATTGCAATGGAACAAGGTCTCTCTCTCTCTCTCTTGAAGGGAAAAATAAAGTCATGTTACATTCCAACAATTCCATGGTGGTATCTCAGATTTATAGTCAAAGAGGCACACATTCTCGAGACCCTGTTTTTGTATCTTGAATCTTCTCTACTGGACTCATTCCTACTGTATCAGTATTTTAGCATGTCATATTCCAGGAGTGATGAATTTAATTGCAGATCACTTGTCTCGATCCAGCCAGAGTCTTCTGAAGAATGGATGATACATCACAAGGTTTTTTCAGTGGATTAG